CACACACACACACACACACACACACACGCACACACGCACACACACACACTCGTGAACACCAGAGGAAACAATAGGCTGAGTTCAAATGGGTCAGGTAATGAACGACACATCATCAGCGGAGCCACTAAAAACATTTAGTGTTTTTGAGCCATTCTTTTCCTCCTCAAGCAACAGCGCCTGTCGATGGACTGTTGTAAAAATCCTGCTCAGGCTTGTGTCGAAAATAGGCTTTGAGTGTGTGGCACAGTGGACCCTCCTGCAGGCCAAGCCACATCTGTTTCAGTAAGTTTCCTTCAGAAGGTGCATCAGCAGGGCTGCGCTGCCGTAACCTGCAACGCAATCCTCTCAACCTTCGAGTGAAAGCTTTTACAAACTCCTCTAGCTTCTGATTACAACAAAACAAGTGTGACCTAAAACCTGACCTGGACTATTATCACCATAGAGCAGACCTGGGCATTTTACGGCCCGCGGGCCACATACGGCCCTTTGGTTGACTTTGACCGGCCCGCGTAAGGTTAATTGGAAATTACAAAATAAATGTATTTTCTCATTTTACCTCATGCATGGGCTAAGGCTGCATTGCTTTTATTTTGAAGTTGTTTTTTACGTGCACAATGACGCAATACGTATAGCAACAAGTGCCCGCGGTTGACATGGTGATTGTAGCCCCAGAAATGTCCGCTCATGCAAAAAAAAAAAAAAAAAGAAAGAAAAAAGAAAAAAAGATGCCAAATACAGGATTTTCAACAAAAATTGGACTGCTAAGTATTTTATTTTTACTGAAGTCGGAGGCAAAGCCGTGTGTTTGGTTTGCGGGGGAAGAGATTGCCGTGTTTAAGGACTACAATTTGAGTCGGCATTACGACAAGAAACACTCGGAAAAATACAAGAACTTGTCTGATGCTGAGAGGGCACGGACATCCGAAGCTTTGCTAGCAAAGTTGCAAAAGCAGCAAGGCTGTTTTACTAAGCTTCACACATCCAGGGATGCAGCAACCAGGACCAGCTTTGTGATATCCCACAAAATAGCTAAAGACAGCAAGCCGTTTTCGGACGGAGAGTTATTCAAAGAGTGCATGGTGGACTCTGCCGCACTAATATGCCCTGAAAAAAAAGGCGCACCGTCCAGGCGAACCGTGGGGAACCTGGAGCTTCAGCTGCAACGTGAAGTGGCAAGTTTTGACTTTTTCTCATTGGCCTTAGACGAGAGCTGTGATGTCCGCGACACAGCCCAGCTGCTCGTATTTGTCCGGGGATAACGGACTTCAAGCTCACAGAGGAGCTGGCAGTAATGCGGTCGATGAAAGGGACAACGACAGGGAGTGATCTTTTTACAGAGGTAAATGCGTGCACGGACACTCTGGGATTGAAATGGGAGAGACTGTCAGGTGTCACAACAGACGGTTGTCCAAATCTTACAGGGAAAAATGTCGGACTTTTGAAACGCATGCAAGATAAAGTGACAGAAATCGATGCAGATCAAAAATAGGTGTTTTTGCATTGAATTATACACCAACATGTGTTGTGCAAGTCAGTGCTAAAAATCAACCATGTTACTGATGTTGTTACTAAAATAATAAACTTCATCAGGGCGCGGGCAATGAATCACAGACAGTGTGTCGCTCTTTTGGAGGACTCCACACAGCTGTCAGATGGCTCAGCCTGGGGAAAGTGCTGGAGAGGGTTTGGGACTTGAAAGCAGAGAATCAGGATCTCTGCTGGATTTCTACTCTTCTCTTAAGGAGGAGAACTTTCCAAACCTGAAGAGACATGCTCAGAAGATGTTGGTTCTCTTCGGCTCTACCTACATTTGTGAACAAACATTTTCAATGATGAAGTTTACAAAATCCAGGTAAAGATCCTCTCTCACTGATGATCATTTGTCAGCTGTGCTTCGCATCTCCACCTCAGACATTCAACCTGACTTTGATGCACTCGTTAAAGCCCAGCAGAGACTAGATTTCTCTCATTGAATAAGAAAAAAATCGCTTAAGAACACAAAATAAGGTGTTTGGATCACAAATGTAGGCAACTAGCAGTGAACTGGGACACTTTTTTTAAACCTCTTTCTCAAGATCACAGTTCAGTGATTTGATTTTACAGACAATACTGTGTGTCTGTAGAATGCTAAGAACCTCTTTCCAAACAATATTTGAAACTCAAAATGTGTTTTGGAGTGAATGTGACTAAAACTGTTAACTAATATACTGTAAGTCACAAATGTTTAACAAAAACCAAATGCGCACTTTGTTTACCATTGCCTTGGGAAATTTGAATAAATAACATTTTTGTAAGCCAACCTCACTTTTTCCTTTTTGCTCATTTATAACATATAGTCTACTCTTACCAGCTTGAAAAAACGATGGCATTTACTGCTTTTTATAAAGAAATACCATTAATATTATGCATAATTGACTTCAGCCTTTTGGCCTGGCCCTCCACAATATTTTCTATTTCTCATGTGGCCCCATGGAAAAAATAATTGCCCACCCCTGCCATAGAGTATCCAGATGGGTAAAATCTGCCAGATTTTGTCTCACACTCATCTAGAACATTTACTTAATATTTAGCCTCTCCAGTCAAAGCCCCTACCCTATGTCTACCTGTGTGGATTCTGAAATTTCTTGTTAATTTAAAAGTCCCTGCACTTGTTCCTTCCAGTCCACATACTTTAACTCACTCTCAGTCCCTTTCTACTTAGGCACCCATGGTAAACCAGGAAAAACTGGCATCATGACCTTCTCTAGACCTGGGGTCTGAGTGCTGCCCCCTGCTTCGATCCTGCCCCAGCAATGCCAAAATAAACATGTGGTAAATTATAAATGTTTGCCCCGAATCCAAGGGGAAGCAAGCAACTCAGATAACCCAAGGCACAGATCACGACTGATGATTGAAATCAGAGGCAATTTATTTTTGACATACAAGAAAAAGAAGGCGATCTATTATGTAACGCCTCTCAAGATCAAAATCATGAAGCGCTTCACAAAAACAAAACTAATTATTTTAACAAAAAAAATTAAAGTATAAAAAGATTTCAAAAATGATTAAAAAATTGGTTTAAAAGGAGAAAAGAACATCAACAAAAAATGTAAGGAAAGGGAGAGAGAAAATGAATAGGAAAAGAGGGAAATCAGTGGAGAGAGAACCAGGAGAGGGTGATGAAGGTCCCACCAAAGCCTGAACAGGGGAGTTGAAAGAAGACCACTGAGTCCACTGATCTCAGGCTCGGGGGGGGGGGGGGGGGGCAGCAGCAGATGATCTGTCACCTTTGGTCTTTAGCCTGGTGCTGCACAACCAGTAGGCTTTGATCACTGGACCTCAGGGACCTGCTGGGGGTGTAGGGACTAAGAAGATCACCAATGTAAGATGGTGCTTGTCCATGTAAGGTCCTAAAGACCAGAACCAGGGTCTTGAAATGAACCCTGAAGTTGACTGGCAGCCAGTGAAGCTGGAGGAGAAGCGGGGTGATGTGGGTGTGTTTGGAGGACTTGGTCAGAAGCCGAGCACAGGCATTCTGAACCACCTGTAGACGGTTCAGGGAGGTTCTGCTCAGACACGTGAAAAGAGTTTTAAGCTTATTACTCTTGAGAAAGATTTATTGCTTCAGTTTTGTCTCCTGCTTCAAAATGTCTTGATATAAAATCACATAATTTTGACATTAGACAGGAAGAATAGCGGCTGTATGTCAGCAGCCAATGAGGGATCTTAATAATCTAACAAACAAACAAACATTTCAACTAATTGTGAAACTTCCATTATTAAAATGTTTCTGATAAAATGCCAGCTTTTAAAACGTTTTAAATGTCCAGTTTTTCAACGATTGTCTGCTGTCCAGTGTTGGTTTCTCCAGTTTTCCACTACTTTTCAGGTTGTATTAGCATGTGTTTAGTGATTTTTGCTCCTACATCTTCAAATACACGTAGCTAATTTTAAAAGTTTCAGCTTCACTTCAGCTAATCAGCAACTTCAGCTATCAGTTTTAGAATTCAGCATTCAAACAGCATTTCTGCAAGAAATGCAATTCATCCAGTTTATTTCAACAATAATATCAATTACAGTTACTTAATATTGACCTGTCAAGCTCTTTTTGTAGCTGATGTATTTGAGTTAAACTTTAAAAACCTAAAAGCACTTCAGTGGTTTACAAATAAATGTAACAAAATAAGCACATATAGATTAATTTCTACTGCAGAGAACTCATGAAGGGTTACATATAGAGTAGTTACGCAGCCTTGTTAATAAGTGCCTCCATGTTATCTGAAGGTGAATGTTTCAATAGTTAACTCAAAGAGAAACGAAGGGTCAAAATTCACTTGCCTTCATCAAGTTGTAAAAACTTGAGCCAACTTGTTCCTCCAGCTTTAGAAAGAACAGAACTATTTACGCACGTGTGCATACGCTTGGATGCACACACTCATGCATATCCACACATGCATGCTAACCGTACTCAAAAAACACACAGCAGTATGTCATGACTATATAACAAATATTAAAACTTTTTTTTTCCAGGAATCTTGACATGTCAATGCTATTTCCATATAAAAGTTGCAATTAGGAGCACAAAACCTCTCTGACCAAATCTGAAATAACAAAACATATAGTCTTTTCACAAACCAAGCCCTTACTGAAAGTGAGGAAGGTAAGCATGAAGATGTGTTGCAGAAGGGCTGGGTAGTGTTTGCTCTCCAGAAACCCAGAAGATTTAGCAGAATGTTGTTTTAAATGTGTCTATTTCAGAACACGCAGATGCTTTCATTCACAACGTTGGAACATATTTCTGGATTTCTCATGTACCACATGTCTTCAACTTTACATTGAGTCACTCTCTTTCACAATTCTATCTTGTGTTAGAATCTCCTTTTTAAATCGAAATATCTTTGCATTTTATTATCTTTATGCCTCACACAGCAGTATGTGTCTGTAATCTCTTACTCTCCGACCTTCTGGTAGAGCACTGGGTATTGCTTCACATTTATAGACCAATCAGAGTCTTTACAGCCCAGAAGGAAGATAGCTATACAATAAGCTGCAGTGTTCTAACTCGTGCTCATCAGAGAGACACTCACAAAGCCGCAGAGGCCAACGGACCAGACTGATCTGTTTTTAAAGCTTTTCAGGTAAGAGACAGCTCTGCATGTATCCGTTTCCTGATGTGAAGCTGAAAGGAAAGAAGGTAAACTAATTTCTCAGATGTCTGAACGTCATCATAACAATATTATGTTTTAATGGTGACATCTGAGAAGCACAATAGGTGCATTTGAGGAGCTTTGCCAGTAAGGTGAAATAAAAGACAGAAAGCATGAAAGGATATGAGCAGACATAAACGGCCACGTGTTAAGTTTGTTTTTGAGGTGGCGACACTTTGATAATGTTACTGTGGCCGTGCTCAGGACGCATCTGTCTGGAGCGCGTCAACGATCAGAGCTCTGGCCTCTCGGGTCAAAATAATCCCTGGAGAGTCCACATAGATAATGTAATATAAGTAGAACCAGGATCTTTTTCAGGCTCCCCCAGGGTGTGTTGGGGGTTCCAGGGGAGCCTGTGATCATTTGGGGTGAGCTGGGCTCCCTTTAGCTCACCCGTAAATCGGACCCTGGTCGTGTGAGTTGCCAGAACCTAGCAGACAGTTACCGGAACGGTCCTTTCAAAATAAGACAGTTCCCATATCTTGTTTCCGAAAGATCCAGCTTAAATTAAAGCCCCAATTTCACCTTTAAAGTAGTTGAACACTCATTTAATCAATACATTTGCAGTGGTCTCTAGAAGAAATCAAGGCTTTGTAGGTTGTACTATGGGGAAGAAAAAAACCAGTGAACCATTTTTAGGAACGAGACGTGTATGGTTTTTATTGGGTCTCGAAATCTGTGCACATGGTTTCCGCACACACGTGAAACATTGAGCACTTGAACTTGATGTGTGAGGGAAGCTATAAGTATCAGGTGAAATCGCATGAGAACATTGTACGCTGTGAGAGAGCAAACTGTCTGCGAGTCCACAAGGATGTGCACAAGTAACAAACCTGAGTGGCGCGTTGGCCTAACAGCACACGGCAGACACAAACGTGCTGCTGCAGCCTCTCTGCTCCCTCAACGGGAGGTTCTGCCTCCTCAATGGGAGGTTCTGCTTTCTCAACGGGAGGTTCTGCCTCCTCAACGGGAGGTTCTGCTCCCTCAACGGAAGGTTCTGCTTTCTCAACGGGAGGTTCTGCTCCCTCAACGGGAGGTTCTGCTCCCTCAACGGGAGGTTTTGCTCCCTCAACGGGAGGTTCTGCTCCCTCAACGGGAGGTTTTGCCTCCCCAATTGGAGGTTTGGCTCGCTCGGCTGAATTTTGACACTTTGAGGGTGTAGACTGTGGCTGATCTTCATGTAGGATGGCTTCTAATTTTTTGCACCTAAATGAGAGCAAAACGGAAGTCATAATACTTCGTCCTGGCAGAAGAAATGGCTCAGGTGCTGATATTGACCTTGGCCCATTGACCCCCATGAAAAGAAAATAGTAATTTGGGGATAAAAAATGAATCCTCACTTAATCTTGACACCCACATAAATACGGTGGTGAGGTCCTGTTTTTTTAATCTGAAATGACTATCCAGGATCAGGCCTCTGTTGTCCAGAGCTCATCTGGAGTCTGTGTTGCATGCTTTTGTCCCGTCTGGACTACTGTAATGCTCTGTATGCCGGTCTGGGCCAGTGCACGGTTGCACGGCTCCAATTTGTGCAGAACTCAATGGCTAGGCTCCTGACAGGTACTAGATGCCGAGATCAAATTACTCCAGTGCTGGCTGATCTGCACTGGCTCCCGGTGCAATATCAAGCTAAATTTAAGATCTTAACTCTTGTTTATAAGGCCCTCCAGGCCCCCTCTTACATCACTGCACTTTTGCACAAGTATGTTCCATCTCGGTCTCTTTGCTCAGCCGAGCAGGAACTTCTGGTGGTCCCCCGGTCGAAATATCGATCGAGGGGTTATCGTGCATTTTCTGTTTTGGCTCCAACTCTGTGGAATGAATTGCCATTGAGCATTAGGCAGGCGCCGTCCCTTCAAGTCTTTAAGTCTCATCAAAAGACTCATTTTTATTTGATTGCTTTTCAGCGCTAGGGTTCATTAAATTGCCCTGACATTATGGTTTTTAATACTTCTTTTTGATCAGGATGCTTGATCTTATTTTGTCCACCATTTGTTTTTAATTGATTAGTCTCATTCCGTTACCTTTCTGTGTTTGTAATATTGCTTGCTTGTTATTTTATGATTTTATGTTTTTATCTTGCTCTTATGCCCAGGTACTGAGAATGTTTTTATGATGCTGATCAGCACCTTGGGCTTCTGATAACGTTGCGGAAGGTGCTCTACAAATAAAATTGATTGATTGATTGATCTGCTCTGTCCTCTGATTGGTAGGTTCACTTCTCTCCTACGCTGTCTTTCATTTGGCCCATTGGCTTGCTCAACCACCACGATGGCTGTACATAACCTTTGTCAAAAACTTGTGTTCATGTTTATTTCTTAACGTTTGAACAGATAAAACACGGTTTGCATAATTGAAATGTTAATGTTTTAATTACAAGTAAAAAAAATATTTTAATTTGTTTTCTAATGTGTTATGGGATGACAAGAAGTTCTGTTTATTCCGAGAGGTCAGTGAAGTGCACACAGCTAGGAACGATTAATGGGTTCTTTCTGTGGATCTAGGAGTCAAATCTGTATCTTTAAAAGCACTCTAGGCTTTTGTTTGAAGGATGTTTAGATGGTGAGTGAACCTGGTGGTGTGGAAAATGTAAGAAATAAGAAGCGAGGGCTAGGACCACAATGGCGGTGGCCCATCAACAAATCTGTGCATTTCTGCCACCTACTGCCCAACACCGATTTTTTTAATGTTTTTTACTTGTTTCATATGATCTTGATTCTAGCCCACTCTCCAAGTGAGTTGGGGTGGTGATGCACTAAATAATAAACTGGCAAACTATATTACCTTGTTGCGAGTCCCCACATGCCAAAGACGGTGGCAAGTACGGGGTCAAAAGGTGAGCCACACTGGACTGGCTTGTGCGAGCAAAATCAGCCAAAGGACAGGAGCTGGGCTGCAGGTCAAAAAACTGTGGTCAGAAACAAGGGTCACACAAGGGTCACAGGGACAAGAGGACAGAACTAGGCAAAAGGTCAGGCTGGCTGGCCCCACCCCTGGATCCACCCCTGGCTTGGAAAGATGGGATTGGAGGAGAACAGAGTGAAGACAAGCCCATCAGATCCAGAAGCCCTCTCGGGAACATTGGAGAGAAACTGAAGAATGCTGCAAAAGATGATGTAATGACCTGTGTTAAGAAGAATGCTGCATGTAGTGAAAATGACACCAAATGTTTTGTGTTGAGCTACAAAGTGTGTATCTGGTAAATGACCCCATGACCTTAAGCTGGTCCAGGAAGGGTATATAAGAACAGCTCTGAACAGCAGAGAAAAATTGAGAGAGAGAGCTGGGGCAGGCGACAAGAAGAGACAGAGCAGATTTGGAGGGGTCATCCCCCGTCCAAACCTGGATGGGGGATGACAGGCGGACTTTTTTTTAGAGATTCCAGAGAGAGTTTTTGGGGAGATTCTTAGAAGACAGGAGCTAGTGTAAACTAACTCTTATTTAATCATTTTGAACTAATTCCTCCTTGGGGGATAGCAGTTGTTTTTTATTTACCCATTTTTGTATTTTTGATTTTGTAATAAACCTTTTTTGAAAAAGAAACATAATCCTGATTCTTTCAGGTTTTCTCTAAAGCTTCACGTTTGGGGCCCTGGCCATAAATTGCACAGAGGTAAGCATGTCGATCACAGGTCTCTGAATTATCAGGACTTACTTTACGGTTTATAATAAAATAATATAAAGAAACCTTAAGATAAGCGGAGTTTTAACTCCCCCCTCCTTGCGAGTAACGAGTTGTCTTAAGGGCGATAAAAACAGAATATTAGAGGTTATTTTTGGCTCTGATTGCAGGTTGAAAAAGTCTCTACCAGCTGGAAGGTTGGATTAATAAATAAATTGATAAACTTATGATAGCCTGATCAACTAGCATAAATCATTTTATAGTTACCAACCTCCCACATAAGCTGTTAGAGGCGCAATTAATCCGGATAATCCAAAAAATTGCTGAGAGGCTTGGCTTGCCTCCAGACTTCTCTCTAGTATCTTAACCAAAAGGTAACGAGTTTAAAAGAAGTGGAATACTCTGAGGATTGCTATTCGTGCAAGTCATTTCACCTTTAAAATAAAAGACACGGTTCTAATTAGGTGGTCCAAACCCGGGTCTAGTACGATTAAACTCGCCGACACCCCCACTCGAACCCTGATGGATGCACCGTCTCATAAGTTCTAACGGAACCGGTAAATGGGACGGGCACGCGACAACCTTACCCAGACTACAGAATAAAAGAACTAAAATTCAGGAACACACGGAACAGCAGTGGAACGCCACTGCTTCAGATAGAATCCATCATGTCTGTAGCAGAAATCCCCAACTCCCTCCCTCAGGGGCCAGTATCCAGCACGTTTTACTGTTTTCCCAAAACAACTGGTTTTATTCAGGATTATGCAGAGCCTGAACAGATGAATCAAGTGTGCTGGATTAGGGAAACAACTAAAACGTGCTGAAAAAGGAGTTGGTAATCACTGGTCTATAGGGCTGATCATGTTGGCAGACATTTCTCCTCTTCTTCTTTTTGGTTTAATGGCAGATGGCATAAACAAAGCATGACCTATGAAGGCTCAAGGGATTTTTTAGATCTCACAAGGACAGTGAGTACAGCATAGCTGCTCCGTGGCTCAGACTCTCCCGGTGTGGATTGATGCATCGCTAAACACACGAGTAAACAATCCCGCTGCCGTTCCACACTGCTGATGCCTCCAGTTTGGATTCAGGGTTAGAATGGACCAGTTCTAGGATTGGTATCTTGGAAAAGAATGTGCCAGATGCAGAGTTTGGTTTGAACAGTTTAGCAGTAAGGTATATCTATACAAAAAAAAGCTATATAAAAATGAAAAGATTAGCCTGAAGCATAAGAAAGCAGCAGGGTTAGGCTATCACCAGAAACATAAAAATAAAAATACATTTAAATCATATTAATTTATCATGTGAG